GGGATCCCGAGTCCAAGGCCATCTCTGAGCATTCGGAAGGTGATGAGGTGTAAAATGTTCTGTCTTTTCCCCTTTTCTGCCCAGGGAGGCTTTTGGAGAAGATGTGGAAGCAAAAGTGGCTGAGGAGGAAGAAGAACAGAGAAGGAGCTACAGGCAGATTGAGGAAAGCAGGGAGGTGCGGTAACAGTACAGCTCCCAGGAATCTGAGCACATTCCTCTCTGTGCTGATGGCCTGCAGCACTTACTAGGAGATGGAGGACCCGTGGTGCATTCAGGTCCTTGCAGTGCTCATCAAGCCCTGCCATAACAGGGGAAGAGGGGGCATATGGATCATCATAGGCACCTCGGCACAGGGCTAGGAGCCAGACCCTGGACAGGCAAGAGTTCATCCTTTAGCCATCCCTCCAGAGCTCAGGTCTCTGAGTGTGAGACATGTACTACCTAATTCAAGGTGCTACACGCTTCAAGAAAAGTGTGGCCAGCAGGGTGAGGCATGGGATTCTCCCCCTCTCCTCTGTTTTTTCTGACACCCCCTCTGCAGTTCTGTGTCCAGCTCTGGGCCCCCAACAGCAGAAGGATACGGAGCTGTTGGAGCGAGTCCAGAGGAGGCCACGGAGATGCTCTGAGGGCTGGAGCCCCTCTGCCATGGGGACAGGCTGGGAGAGTTGGGGGGTTCAGCCTGGGGAAGGGAAGGCTCCAGGGAGACCTTAGAGCCCCTTCCAGTGCCAGAGGAGGGTACAAGAAAGCTGGGGGGGACTTTTTCCAAGGGCAGAGAGTGACAAGACAAGGGGTAACGGGTTTAAATGGAAAGAGGGAGATGGAGATGGGACATCAGGAAGGAATTCTTCCCGGCGAGGGTGGGGAGGCACTGGGACAGGTTGCCCAGAGAAGCTGTGGATGCCCCATCCCTGGAAGTGTCCAAGGCCAGGCTGGATGAAGCTTGGAGCAACCTGGTCTAGTGGAAGGTGTCCCTGCCCGTGGCGGGGGGTGGGTCTGGGTGGGCTTTGAGGTCCCGCCCCACCCAAACCGTTCTGGGATTCTATGATAATTCACAGAAGCTGGCCAAGCTGCTGTTTGATGGCACGCAGTTGGTGACAAATATCCAGGTGGCTGCTGACCTGAGGGAAACACAGAGGAGGGCAGAGGAGGCAGAGCTGAAGTTGCGGAGGTAAGAGACTGCACGATGGGTCTGCACAGCTGAGAAGGTGCAGGGCAGATGCTGGTGCAGCTTTTGGAGGACATCCTAACTAACCCTGGTTACCCAGGAACACTTAACAGTTATGCCAACATTGAATTTATATTCAAAAGGAAAATTTAGGCGCACAAAGAGCCTCCAGGTCCAACTTGCCACAGCTGGACCTTTATGGAGTGCTGCAGGCGAAGGCTGGCGGATTCTCCACGTCCACTGCAGTACTATGGATGCCTGGTTACCGATCTCCAGACCCATCACGTCTTCAGCTCCAGACTGTGAGAAATGCAGCTCGTTCTCAGCTTTTCACCAGGAGCCTCTAGCGTGGTGACTTGCTCCAGAAGCAAGGCATAGGCACATCTGCCCTCACATCTGGCTAAGCAGCTCTCCTGAGCCTGGAGGTGACACCGTGGTGGAGAATGTGCCACCCTGTGCTAAGGGAGGGCTCAGTTGGTGGCCTGTTTCCAGAGGTTGCCCTTCAATCATGGAAATAGGGGTAGTTATTAGCCATACCGTGGGAATGCACCCGAGCAGCCACATCAGGCTGTGTGTGAGGAGTGGGAAGAGCATGAAGATGGGCTAATTTTAGAAACTGGTTAATAAGATCTTTGCAGGGAGAGGGATCAGATGCTGGGTCAGGGGCCCCTGATGTTGTAAGAGAGCTTCCTTCTCGGACACACTTGGCACATGCCTGGACAAGGCCCTGCACAGCCTGCTCTGACATTGAAGTTAATCCTGCTGTGACCAGGCACAATGATTTCCAGAAGCCCTTCCAGGTTCCATTATTCTCTGATCCTCTCTGTGTGCCTTCCTGGGCAAACCTGTCTGGCTTCACCAGAGAAGGTGGGCAGTCCCCAAGGGTCTGGCTCTTTCAATTCCGTCCCCAGGACTGGGAGATCAGCTAGGAAACACTGACTCCTTGCTCCTACTGCCTTTGGAGGGCACTGTAGGAACATTTTATGGGAGGCTGGCTGTAGCAAGACCTGTGTCCCTTGATCAGATTGTTTCCCAGTGGGAATCTCATTAAGGAAGCAGGTGCCTGTCGAGGAACTGCCCAAAGAGCCAGTTGAGGGGGTGGCAAAGTTGGTGGTCACTGTTAAGGGCCATCTCCAGAGTACATTGGATGGTGCCTCTGTTTGGAAGAGGAAAGTGTTTTGTGATATGCACGTGGGCTGTTCAGTCCCGTTTGGCTTTAGCTGGAGTATGGTCTCTGGACAGTTTGACTCTCAGGTCTAGATGTAGCCAGGAGGCTGTTTGGCACTGCTTGTCCATCACCTCTTGCCCAGAGACAGCTCGCTTGGCAGAAGGACTAGTGTTCCTTGCGAAGGTGCCTGCTACTTGAGCTGAGCTCTTTAGCCTTTTCTCCTCCAGGTAAGTGGTTGGTAGAGCAGTGGGCAAGGGCAGAGCTGGGGAAATGCCTGTCTGAAGAGAAGGGCCTGCTGGATGGCAGCTCTGCCCTTGTGTGATGCTCTGACAAGCTCCGCTGGTATCTTGATGCTGCTTTGAATCCAAACCGGGTTATGCAGGAAAGTGCTCCTGCATCATGGGCTACTGAAGCACTTGCTGCCCTTGCCCAGCTCCTTGTTTGCCGTGTGCTCCTTCCTGCAGGGTGGAGAAGCTGGAGAATGAAGTCAAATCTAGCGCATACAAGTTTGAGGAGATCACCTCCAAGTGGGCCTTGGCCAAGGAGATGACGATCCCACTCGAAACCAACAGCAGCAGCAATGCACGCTGCTTCTGGAGGAGAAGAACAAGCTCATCGATGAACTGCAGCAGGTAGCGTGGGGACCGGGCAGGGACAACCGGGAAGGACGGTGTGGGGGGTTCAAGCTCTGGAAGATGCTGTTCTAAAGCAACAGCCATCCCTGTCTGGCTCTACAATCCACCAGTACTCTGGGTAGTGTCAGTCGGTCTAGGTCAACACTGTGCCAGGAACGGCCGTGCCAGCGTGGAAGCTGAGATCAGGTGTCCTGTCACTGTTCTGTGTACAGGGACAGACACACAGGGCACTGGTAGCAGTAAGACAAACTGGCAGGTCCCAGACTGCACAGTATAAAAAGGCAAATGAGCAGAGAGAAGGAGTTTCCTGGCCACCAGAGAAAAAGTGGGGTGTCTGCAGGCATGTCACCTCCCATTCCATCTCACCTGGACCTTTAGGCAGTGGTGATCTGTCTCTTCTCCCATCTTCACTCTTAATTACCTCTTGGCTTTCTGGCTCTTTGCTGTCATCGCCCCTTCTCCTTTGGAAAAGGCACAATCTGGCTCATTTCCCTTCCAGTTAGTCCCTGAGGATTCCTCGTGACATACTTCTCTCTGATTTCAGCATCTGCTCTCCTCTTCCAGGAGCTGAAAAACAAAGATGAGCAATACGTGCAGGCCATTAAGAAGCAGTCGGATGATATCTACCTGCTTTTGGAGAGAATGGAAGAACAGATCAGGATCATGCTGAAAACTTACCGTCACAAACTCCTACAGATTGAGGTACCCAGTTCATATGGTGGAGGAAGAGTCCAGTGAGAAAACCTGCGGCCACTTGCTTCTCCATGTCTACAGCAAAAAGGCATCAGGCTCATTGCACTGCCTAGGCTGACTACCCTCCCGAGCTGCAGGGCTGACGTCTGGGTGAATGAGGCTGATATCCACCCAAGCAAGAGCTCTGAATGGTGCTGAGGGGTTGGTTTATACTGTGCTGTGAATGACTGTGATTCAGCGCAAGGCATATTGGTGGCATGTGAAAGCTGTCGCTGCTTGAAGGCTGATTCTTCATGTCTCTAAAAGGCAGAAAGGGCCATTATAGTGCTGCACAAAGTCCCACCTCGCCGATCAAACCTGCATTAGTTGCTGAGCGAGGGCATCTCTCCCCGTTTAATGTCTTGTAAGGTGAAATCAGGTGGCTGGCTGATCAAACTACACTGCTAAGCACTGGTTTCCAGCGAACTCCCTGAGCTACCCACCACCAAGAGCAGCCCTCTCAGCTCTGGGTGGCTCGTAGCAGCAATCCCCCTGGGGTCGCAGTGTGAGGTCTGTGCCGACGGTGTCCTGGCACGGAGAGGAGAGCGGCACCAGTCTGCAGCCGATCCTCGCCTGGAGGCTGCTGGCCTGGACTGGTGTAAGGTTGGCAACGGGTGCTGCCAACGTGATGACAAAGGGCTCTGTCTCCTTCACAGAAAGCTTTTGAACTTGAACGGCGAGAGCTGCTGGACAACAACAGGAAGAAGTGGGAAGAAGCCATCCAAGTCCACGATGCGCAGGAGGTAAGGTCCATGTGAAATTTAGAAGCATAGGGTCATGGAATCATTTAGGTTGGAAAGGGCCCTTCAAATCATCGAGTCCAACCGTTACCCCAGCGCTGCCCAGCCCCCCACTAACCATGTCCCTGAGCCCCACATCCACACGGCTCTGAAACCCCTCCCGGGGTGGGGACTCCCCCCTCCCTGGGCAGCCCCTTCCAACACTGCCAGCCATT